TTGATCCATGAAAATTTGAAACCCGTTGAGGAACTCTTCTGAAATCCCTCCATTTTCATCTCTACGTTGATACATCCACCTTCTTAATTCGTATATATCGCTCATCTTATTCAAAAATATTTTTTTTTCAAAATTTTTTATTTTAATTTAAGATTGTATGTGTTTGGTTACCGATGGCTGGTCATGTATTTATAAGAGATTTTAGCAACGAATTTGCATCTAATTTTGCATCGAATTAGCATCGAATTATCATTAAATATATTAGCCTCGAATTTGCTTCAACTTTGCAGTGATTTAGCGTCGGTTTAAGGTGCCGTTGCTAAAGTAGGTGAACCATTTAAAACACGTTTCGCCTATCTACCCACTTCGATGCTATATTCGACGCTATACCGACGCTAAGAGCATGACGCTAAATCGACGCTAATTTAGCAACGAAGTAGCGTCGAAAATTCGTCCCTATTTTACGTCAAATTAGCCTCGAATATTGCCATCAACACAAAAACGACGTGAAATCGACGCTAAAGTTGCGGCGACACTTTTTTCGACGCTAAAATTTGACGCTAAAACTGTATTTTCTTGTAGTTCTTTAAATAAAATATTCCATATTAATTACCACATATTCGTTTGATGATTATATATTGTATATATGATATAAGTTTGGTGGGTAATTGGGCTAAGATATAGTTATAATTATTTGCATAATGGTTAATGTCATTAAGAATTTTTAATAGTTTTCATTAAAAGTTCTTTAAAATTCTCTTTGGATGCCACCTAGGATTAGAGAAATTTTTTAAAATGTCACTTTTCAAAAATGTCATCTTTTCAAAAAAGTTGCAAAAAATACCATTTTTTCAAAAAAAAAAGTTTCATTATATCATTTATGTTTGGTTAACTATGTTGTATTAGAATTTATTTTTGAGGGTTTAAGGGATTTTAGGAGTCAAAACATTTTTTAGGGTTTATAATTTTAAGATTTATGTTTAAAAAATCTATAATTAGTGGCATTTTTGCAAATAGACACCCCTAAGTGGTATTATTGCAAATGTACACACCAAAAATGATATTTTTGCAATTGCCCCCTAGAATTTTTTACCAAGGGTCTCCTCTATTAATATATAGAGGATATACATATATATATCACAATAATTATAAGTTGATAACAAAATCCACTACTTTTCATCATTTCGATCAATTTGGAATGTGTCGATCAATAAGGCTAACAAAAAACATTTGGAATGTGTCTATTTGATTATTTCGATCAATGATCATAACCTAGATAGCTTTTCATAATATTTTTGTGGTCAATATACGTAACTCGTGTGTCTTTGAAAAGCAGGTGATTGAATATCATATTTTAATTACCGTCAAATCGAGCATTAACCTTTTTCAAAACATTGTTTAAATTCTCTTAAATCATTATAGAGAATTTTGGCATATATGCAGTATTCCACGTTTTTATAAAATAATAGAGAGAATGTTCATGAATGATAAGAAAAGGCAAAAGAATAGTAGTCTACATTAAAAGTCAATGACCTCACTTTGTGTGTAGATTTTATATATTTGATTATGTCTAATTAATACTTTTTTCGTCGGGTATAAAGGTCTGATTTCTGTGTGGAGAGACGACTTTATTTAAATTATTAGCTAATGAGTTTGATTCTCTTAATTGAATATTATTTGGTTTTTGTAATTCTTGATAACACGTAAAACCATGTGTACGTTATCAACTTATATCATAAGATCACTTGTAATTTTTAATACTACGTTAAATCGTATAGTACTTAATCATACTATGTGTGATTTATAAAATTTATTATAAGAAAAATAAAATATTGAAATCTATTTGAAAACAGAATTTGATGTTTCATAAGAGTAATTAGCTATAGAATAACTAATAAAATAATATGATTTTGAAAAGAAAATAATACAATCATATATAAATCAGTCCACAATAATATATATACTTCGTTTATTAAAAAAACTGAATTTGTGCTTGAAAAATTGGAGAAATCAGTAGTTATTGTGGGCTACCAAATAGGGATATGATGGTTTTGATTCATCTTCGATGTACGACAAAGCAATAATGAAAAACAAGAAGGAAAGAGCAATCTGTAACAATATAGTTATGATTATATATTTTAAAATTTTTCATTATTATTACTTAAGTATGGAAGACAAAAGGAATAGAATAAGAAGAAAAATGAATGGGAAATGGCAGAAAATATAAAGGAATTAAGGGGGAATGAAGTCAGAACGGTGGTCCAAAAGACAATGCGAAGGACCATTGTAAATTTGTGATTTATTGAAATCAGAAAGTTAATACACGAAACCCTAAGAAAACAAAAAGAGAAAATATAGGAACAATAATTATGCTATGGTCAAAGCTTAGTAGTTGGGCTATTTTAATTTTAATTTAATTTTTATTTTGTCTAAAACATCATGTGGTGAAAAAAATAGAGTAAAGTTTGAGGTGTAGAGGAAACTTCTTCATTTGGGTAAAATCCCAAATCCCTATAAGGTAAATAATACTTCATCTCCCCTATAAGGTAAATAGTACTCCACTGTTTTATTATACAAGATATTTTAAAAAAAAAAATTTCATTTTATAAGATGTTTTACTATTTTTTATGCAGATTTTAATATTATTTATACTTTTGATCTTTTAAATTATGTAATCTTATATATGATTGATTGAATTATATTATCTTACTAATTATTAAATAATATTTTGTTTATATATTTTTTTTATTAATTTTCGCGCATTCAACTAAAACATCTTATAATATGAGATGGAATGAGTAGCTAATATCCTGAGATATAAATTATATAATATTTTTTATAACGACAAAAGATATGTTGATTTGATTATTTGTTGCAAGAGATTAATATTCGTAATTTTTTGTAAAAAAAGAAGAAGAGATTAATATTCGAATCGAAAAATAGACTTATGTTTTTGTTTCATGCAAGTTGTATATATAATAGCCTTGTGTTGATTTCTGGTACGTTGATATGCAATGATTCTCTTTAAACTAATATTTAAATATTTAAGATAATAATGTAATGGGGTCAAGAGTCAAGACTAATGTAACCAAAGTCAAATGCATTTTCGTATGATTACCATTTTTGTAGATTGTATATCCTTGTAGGTCAAAAAACACATGTCACCGTTTTTTGAATAAACAAATAAAGTAGCAACATTCCAGCTAGTTATTTTATATTTTTTACTTATATATCATTAGCACAATTTGGCCATATATAGAATTAAATTCCTTCCTTTCTCATTGCTTAATTAGTGAATTAAGTTTCACT